GTACTTTTGGTCGCTGTAATATGATACTGCAAGTGAAGTGCGGTTGGAGCTTATTCGTCTCATCTGATGTGTATCAACCTTGCAAAACCCCGGAATGCGTTTTCCCCCTTTTTCAATCTAAAGCATGAACCTTTCGGTCAAGTGGTGGTCAAAGTGCTCAGCTCAAACCGAAGTCCCTCCTCCCATCTACATCCAGGGATTGCATAAATGCTACGCGTTACGGTCAACGGTGCACTGGTGACGTATACTGCGCAGTGATTCAAGATGTGATCACTATCTTGGGATGTTAATACATCAGGATAAAATTATTTTTAAAAGTTTGCAAATAAATGATTCTACTCCTTATAGAGTTATACAGATACCCATGATTTTTGCGAGTCCCCTCTTGATTATGTGATGGATAGCACTGTAGAGTGTGCTCGTCAGATTAGTTGATTGATTTATTGATCAGTTGATTGAAATCTTCCGTCCTAAGAGACTGATGGCTTTGAAACTATTGACTCATTCGTGTCCGAATGATTTTACGCTCTGGTTGTTTATCACTCACACGATAAACTACAGGTATCAGTCTCAGTTGAATTAAAGAGACTTCGTGGAATTCTTCTCCTGTGCGAATTAACTGTCCTTTCGCCGATTCAATCTCTCTCTCTCGCTCTTGCTGATTCACTCAGCAGTAACGGAATGATCGATTTCAACAATGCCTTAGTACCATTCTGCTAAAACCTGTAGTTCTCCGGTCAACCGGTAAATAAAAGCAAACGTGAATATTACAAAGCGATTGCTGGTGATAGAGTAGGTATTTATGCATACTCGCAAACATTGTGCGGGCCTCTCTTGCAAGCGATAAACCAAACTAGCACCTGCAGATGAGCATCGGCACCTGAGGTGTTCATCCACATTTTCGGGATCAGACAATTTTGATCACAATGATGCACCCCTCCCCCCCCGATGAACTTGGACCGAAGTGATTGCTTACGTTTAACACGTGGTGATCTGTATCAGAACCACCAGACATGTTAATTTTCGTTCCAATCATTTCATTCCTCTGATCTACATATATCCGCTTCCGTATGAAACACCGACTCCTTTATTCTATCTGTTCCACGCTCATATCTCAGCAGTGCTCAGCGTATTCCAGTTGGGCGCGGCATCTCCTCTCGAATACATTGTGGATGTAGATAATGGGAAACTTGGCAATCCACTGTTTGCAGCCGCGTACTATCGCAAGATCCGTTCCCCTTTGTTTCCTCGTGTGGGAAAACGAATGACCGATCCGGATGAGTATGTGAGCAGCTCCCAGTTAATCCAAGGCCTCCCGGTACGGATGGCTCTACAGTAAGGCAACGGGCTCTGTTCATCGCACAACGCCATTCCCACTTTTACATCATTGACACTCTTAATTACAGATTGTGTATCGGGTACCAATGAACTCATAAATCTTATTTATACAGTTCGTTTCTTTTGGTTTGATCCGTTTTCTTGGTCTTGTTGACAGTAGGGAACAGAGATGGAAAGTAAAAGAGATTTTTGTTGTTGTTTCAATTGTACTAACTGAATGATAATCACAGAGAACTCGTTCAATAAATAATCTTACAATTCTAGCTTTGACATGTAGTGTGATCACACAGTTCATACGCATTGCCGATCTATTTAGGGATTTTCATTACGTTTGGCTGTCAACTGAATTCTCGATTGAAAACATAAAAACTAGTCGATGCAAAAAATCGAAAATTTGAACTGATGTACTGCATTGGACCCTATGTTCCGAGGTTCAAGCCCCGCCACCGCCGCCCAGCTTTGGTGGTAGGCAGCTCTGCTGTCGTCCGGTTCAATACCATGCCTTACCTATCGGGGCCTTATGTGGTTCGCCACTCCAAGTCCTGGGGCTTAAGTTGCCGATTTCAATCACTGAACAGCAGGTCCTCGTGACTATGGGCTTCGCCCCGTCTGCTATTCATCACACCTAGGTGTTTAATAAAAAAGTTTTTTTTTAATTGATGGCCATCACATATGTGAACATGTTCATGTTAAGCCCAAATTTTTGCTGAGTACGTGAAACCACTGGTCTTTTCTGTCATGAACTTGGCCGGTACTTGTGCGCGGAGAACACAAGTTTCAATAAAATACGGGGAGAAAACATTCCATAACCTAGGGTAAGGATTGTTAGAATATTTAATTACCAGGGATAAAAATAAGTCTCGATTGGGACCTTTTTCACCGTAGATGGAGTAAATAATGCTTGTTATTGACAGTTTTCTACGTTGCAGCTTAAAATAAAACTTTTATAGGAACGAATACACATATCCAAAGTTCTACAGAAATTGTAACTGCTTTCGTAAAAAACAGTTTTTAGGTGTATGGATATGATTATGCGTTTTGAATTCTGTCAAAATGGAGGACAAGTGGAACAGTTCAAAGTTATTGCCCTCTGTCAAGAATCAAAAATGATTATGTCACAGTTGAATTCTATGAATGAATATGTCTGTTCTTGGAAAAACAAATGAGAAGACAAATCTATACACTTGGAGTTGTGAGTTAACTCAATGCTGTGAAACAAAAATCACAAAAAATGGGGTCCGGACGACAAAACACGGGCAAGATAGTGCTCTATGGAGGAGTTGTATGCTGTTACACATGCATTGAAGGTGTGGGACAGGCTGACATGCATTTGGATAATGCGTCGGACAGTATCTTTGGAGCAAGGTAATCACCAGGTTCGGTACGCTGGAAGATGGATGATGGGAGAGATGGGTGAACCACAACAGCCGGATGGATGTCCGGGTTATGCGAACATTTCACCGCATCATTCCCTTATAAAACAATAAAAGTCACTGTAGATGCAAAAACCGATTGGGATGAGAGGCTGGCTTGCAAGATCGTTTTCAACAGGGAACGGATACAAGCTTTAAGCGAAAGGCACAAATCGAAAACCTTTTAAATTTTGAAAAACCGTCAACGATATACTCACACCAGATCTCGGGAATGGTTGAGAATTACATCCAATTATGTGACAGATGTTGCTCGACTAAGATGTGTATCTCTAATGAATCGTAGCTGGCACGTCTAAAGAGAATCAGAGTATGGCATTCGAAAGGGCTCGTCAAAAGCACTACAGCCTTTTATCGAAATTCCTTTCTGCCAACCGAGTATTTTAACACTGTGAACTTTGCAATGTCATCATGCGTTTGAGAAAACCTCTCCGAAAAACTCTAAACCAGGAACTGTTTCAAAGATAAACGGAATTGTTTACTATGTATACAGTTTTCCTTTAAAAATCCATCACCTAGTCTTACTGATGACAAGCCGACCGCGAAAACAAATGCAGCCAAGTAGTTATCCAATAGTCACTGATTATTATTATTATCATTATTATTATTGTTCCTCAGAACTGGGTCACATGACCGTCGTGACACAACTGCAAGCCCCGGAAGCACAGATCTGAAAAGGTGGTGTGCAACACAGACACAGACACACAGACACGAAGTGAACGATTCCTCACATTTTATTGTTCTTCCCCCCAACCCCTAGGATTTTTCCCTCATGGAAACTGTAAAGGCATGATTTTGAGTTATTAAAAACAATTGTTCGTCTGAAATTGTGTTATAAATGCGAGTATGAACGTATTTTGAAATTGGGAGTATAATTTCCTTGACTTCCTCCTTCCATTTGAACGTCATTTACGCACGACTGGCTATATTATTTTCTTGTTTTAATCCTCCAAACTTTTCGCTGTAGGTCTTCTGAACACATTGGACCATAGTGTACAGGGTATATCATTGGTGAATACGATGACATAATAGAAAACACATTACTTTTTACTATCTAACACAATCCTTAGTACACGATTCCAAGATACGCCTTTACTAGACGCTTTTATGGCACTTAAAAGGCACATTAACTGGAAAAAAAGCTCTTTTTTGCAGTGCTTCCTATTCGTAGAAATAGGACAAAATATGCATCGCCACACCTGAATATGGAGAGTGTGTGATAGGCTCTTTATTTCTAGTTTCATTTAAAAGCCATTTATAGTTGTTAGAATCCTCCAGGGTCCATTACGTGGCACACCTAAGAGCCAGCAAGAACTACTTTCACCGGCTCAGAGTAAATGATGTGAACAGATGCTGAATGCCTCCGCGTTGGGTAGAATGCACAAGCTCATCATCCCAGATGGTTCCGACTTTGTGCAGGTCTGAAGCTGTTTGCCGATGGTGTATAAAACCATCGCAGGTGTGGCTGGCTTACCTACTATCGTGTTTAGCCACTCAGAATGAATTCACTTCTGCACGAACAGATGCTTAGTCGCTTGGTCAACATACTACATTACACCGAAACAAAGTGATGATGAGGCAAATGCAAGGGTGGACTACAGAATCATGCTTTCTAATACTCAACCGTAGATGCACGGATCCACTGGAGGCTAACAAAATTTATAATTTGTTTATATAGTTCTGTTTGTCCTTATTGTCGATGTGCTTTCAACAGCCTCCTATGTACGACCTCCACCTAGGTGATACTTTTAAGTGGTAAAATTATGCACGCAATCTTTTCTTCAATTTTGAGCATTTTTACATCCAATGTCTGTCTGAGTCAGATAGTTCAATAATAGGTCCCAAGAATTGACAAAATCTCGCATATTTTGTCATTTATCAAACATCGTGTCCACGGTGCTTTCTGACCTAAATACTGTTCGGAATCGCCCTTTTACTTTACGTGCTACAAACTTATTCAACGGTTTATATATCTTCCGACATATGTAGTTTTGGTTGGAATAAAAAAAACTGTTAGTAGTGTCAAGGATCATTTAAACCATACCTTGTTTGGCACACAGGAGGGGTTGAGAAGCGATCATTCTGATACAGTGACGAGAGACCATCAGAAATATTGCTTCTCAAAGGAATCCGCAAAATTGTTATAGGAAAATGTGTACCATGATCATTAAACAGCCAATTTTGAATGAATTATTGAAATGGTACGTTATTTTCCCATTTGAGTACGGACAGCCTTATCAAATTAGAAATAAGATAGTGTGATAAAGGGTTTAAATATTTGAATTGTTGCAGAACAATGTGTGGATGGATTTTATTTCCGCCTGGGTTAAATTGCCATACGAAGCCGATGGGTTGGCTCTTACCATTTCAGTAATGATGGTGAAAGTGATGTTTTTCTTCAGGGACACCGAATGTTTGACGGCAGACTAACAAACTGTATTTTAATCCCTTATAGTGAATTGTAAATCTGTTCAGCGGGGTATATTAGGATTCCAGGCTCTTTCTAAGGTAGTGGTTAGGAATAACTCATACCACTTCGAAGCCAATATTTCACATTGATATTTCCTAATAGCATTTGGTGCTGAAAATTAATTTCTCAGCCACACTTTGTCGATCTATCCCTTTTGTTTTATCGCTCCGTCATGGCCTCAATAACTGTCAACTGAAAGACAAGTACGAAGAAAAAACCGTGATCACCCTAAATCAACACAGCATGGAGCATACTATGGAAATCCTCACTATTAGTGGCTGTTTTAAAAGCATGTACTCAGCAAGTTGATGAGTGTCAAACTGAAACTGAATGGGACCTGTTCATTGCAAATTGCGAAGGCTTTATTCGATCATCCTTCAAAGATGAAGGATACCAACCAAGTATCAGAACGGCACTTGAAATCAGCCATTATATATTGCACATTCGTGGGAAGCTGCCCGTCACCCGGTTCAACGAACCGCTTCCAGCCTATGTCAGTTTCGACCGTGGGTGTTTGGTCGCCTACATTGGTTAAATTGAGCGGTAACTTCGACAGTGTGGCTGAAAATATCCAATTAAAGGTGAACAGCCTCACAAATAGAGTGCAGACAGGCAAACAAGGTTAAACTTCACCAAGAATTTGGCCGCCTGCTTTCTCCATCGCATGTCATTTGACTGGGAGAAGGTTTATGGGTCAACTGCGTTTGGAATCATGGGGTCAGGATCCCATTCCCGCTCGTCATGAAACGCTCCCAAATCGACCTATGTGATCGGAATGCATGTTTTATTTCAATATTCTGATCATGATGAGAATATAGGAGAATCAGTGACTGTCTAGTGAACTTTTGCGTAAACTTATGTACACCTAAAAATATACGACAAAACTATTTTCCAGTTAAATCGAGAAACCAGCCCATACTGTCTTCAACTAACAGTATCAACCGTCACACACTCACGTGATATGTGGCTCAACAAAGAAAATAAACAATTTTCTAGCCATCAATGAATTAAAACGTGTGAGCGTCATTAGCTCATTCCAAAGTCATTATTTGGCAATCAATGAAAAGAGATCATGTGATGCTTTCAATGTCACAGATTTTA